TAGTTTTGACCTATTTAATACAAAAAAAAAAAATACACCAATTTTAAACAAAACAGGCAAAAAAATTGATTTAAAACAATTGTTTTTAACAATTCCTTTTGAACAAATCCAGCAATTGGAACGACCACCATTTGGACTTTACTTATACGCGAGTTATCGTATGTAGCTCCTAATGGAGTTAAATGAAACGGAAACTAACTCATATAAATATGGAGCCAATAGTCTATTACAAGAATTACGAGTCAAAAATTTAACATATTATTGGAGTATTTAAATTTACTGTCAATTTTCCCATTAAAATTAAGGCTGGTCTAGACGTTTACGGCATGTAGCGCCAACTGACAACAAACATTACAGCTCTTGCGTTGTGTTTCACCTTTATTCATATTAGCTATATACACACTTGATACAGATATAAATGTTTATATGTCTCCAGTGTCAAAATAAAGTAAATTGTATAGAATAAATATAAAGGTCTTTCGCGAAACATCTGGTCATAGATGCCTATATGCCAATTATTTGCTCGTGCTAACTGCGAATTTCATTGATATTAGTAATTGGCATATTTTCTTCGATCCGTAGCTCTAGCTCCAATAGGAATTTATAATTACCTTCAGGATATGCATTGCCACGAAGGCGTATTTGCAATGTATTTCTTTGGTATGGAAGAAATAGCCCAAATTATAAATAGCTTCTATATGCCGGATTGTTTAGATTTTCTACTTCACAAAAAATTTTGCTCAATTTTTATGCCCTTTTTATTCAAATAAGGGGAAGCAGATAAAAGCGGAAAACAGTTTTTCAATACTCATTCGGAAGGTGTTCTTTGCCTCATCGTGAATAATTAAAGACCAAAATGAAATGTGTGAAAGCGATAGCGAGTCGGAATCAATATGGACCTGGACATTATTTCCCTGGCCCGTATTCAGTGATATATTAGAATAATGCCATTTCAGGATTGGAAGAATTAATCATTATAGTATAAAGCGCAGCAAATGTAGTGAGCTTGTCAGTAGAAATGGAACTAAAACAGAAAATCATGAAGAAAACATACAAAAATTTTAAAGGCGCATTGGTCATCATTGAGGGTTATTGTTAACGCAATTCGAGCTTCGAACGTATATTATTTTGATTAAAATTATAGCAGCAAGTTTTGAAAACGCTCAATAGCGTTTTGTTAAAAAGAGACAGCAATAAAATTTAATATATACTTAATATTTTTGACTGAATTTTTTCTACTAACATGAAGCAGCAAAGGACATGCGACAACAGGTTACTTTTTGTATTATAGGTTATGCCATGCATGATTAAAAAAAAAAATTTGCTGTGCAATCTTGCTTTCTATCTTAAAATAAATGAACGGATTTTTGGCAGTGTGTGCAAACCTCGATTATTTGGTAACGATTATAATCGTAGTCTTTCATTGATCACACTTGAAAATTGAGCACTCGCAATAAAATTCCAATTTTTGAGTTTATGACTTGACGGGAAAATCGTCACCTCATATAGTATATTATAATTAAGGGAGCGTTTTACTTAAAGTGCTATTTTGACATTAATATCAAATTACAGTTTGGGAATCGTGCTTTTTGCGTTTAATACCTACTGTGTTTTTAAAAATGATTTCAATATGAGCCCTCCCCTTAAAATAAGACCTGGTCAATAACGCGATTTTCTTTTTTGACCTAGTCGATAGCAAGAAATCTCTCCTACTCGTTTTAACAGATTGATAATCTATGTTTTGCTGTTATTTTGAATAAAAATGAGCTATTTATGAGTAAATGGATATCGGTTTTCATATTTTGTATATTTGAAAATCTCGTAATTCTCTACTTTGTAATTTTGTTTTTAATAAATGAAAATATAAAACATCCCCCGAAAATAAGCCCTAGTGTTATTTTTCGGAAGAAAATTGGAATAAGACCCAGTCTTATTTTCGGGAAAACACGGTATCATCCGATGGCTTTGAAATGATTAAATAAGCATACTCTTTGCATTACACACTGACAAACAGAGTTTCATTCTGTGGTATTTTGAAACAGTGCTCAATCTCGCCGAAAACCGCTGAGACTGAAAAATTTGTATCGCTCCTCGGATATAATTTCGTGATTTGTCACTTGGGCGTTCAAGAAGGTATTAGTAGTCCCACGAGTACAAGATATTGATTTTCGAAATATTGGTGATTAGCTAAACCGCTCCTTATATTAAGCCATCGATCACACAGATGCGGTGAATCTTAGCTACTATATATATGCCAATTACATTGATAATAGCTCCATATTGCATCAATTGGTTTCTAATTTCAACAATTTAATTTGATGGCTTAAATTTGACGTTACAACAAGCAAAAAAAAATGCAAAACACCTCAACAACCGTAACATGCATACCGTTTATCCGTAACTGCATGAAATGTGATGGTCCGATACTATTACAATACATAATATTACCTTTAATAAAATTTTTAATAAAATCTCTTTGCTTGTCGTAGTTGAAATATACTTGTGTGAAGAAGTCTGACCTCGGTAAGACGAAACGTTACAGAAATATGTTAGTGTGCAGAATATAGTCATCCTCATTCTTGCTACAGCGTACGGATACTCCATCGCAAAGAAATAAATAAAGGTCACTTACTTAGTCATACATAACCCTGATGGTAATATAAACTGATACGTCCTTTCTGTCTCCAATTTTGCAATACCCATGTCTTTTTATGCAACTAAATTTAAGAAGTTGATTAGTTAAGCGAATCCATGTTTTGAAGATATTTCATCGCTATGCTTGATTTTGCCTATACTATCATTGTGACTATCATAATAACAAGAGAGCTATGCTCAAATATATGGACACCTAGCGCCACATAATTTTGATTACATCATAGCAAAAAATAAAAGCCTTCCGGAGAAAAATTCGATCTTTAACCACTGAAAATTTCAAAGCAATTGGTCCAGTTATCAAAGGGAAAAGCGATTTCTTCAAAACGATACAAAGAACAAAAACAACAAAACGATCGTTATGTCCATTACGTGTCCAATAAACGTTATGTTATATTCTACGACCTTTGTTTTCAAGTTTATGTTTGTCATGACGTATATCGCGCACAATCTCATTCTTGTTACAGGTATCGCATTTGGATAAATTTTGGCGTCCATTTTATGCTATTTCATTACATTCATAAGTTGATGTCTATGTCCAATAACACCAGTGTCGCCTTTTGCTTAAATAGACAGATTCTTGAAACATACTACAATATAACGATACATTTCAGTTTGTTACAATTTTGTTTGTAAACTTATAGATACATATACTGTACAGTGTATATATCCAGAATATTAGGCTTTTGATTTTTACCACATGTTTTCAAACATTTCTACTTCAAAAATGTATAAAAATTTTTGCAACTGTGAAACTAATGAAGTATGTAAAGAAAATATGAAGTCTTACATAATTTAGTAGCACACAATATCGCTTACACATACCTCTCGTAAGTTCAGAAGACGTGAATGGCGATTTTAAAAGTAAAGTATGTAGCTATTGCGATAGATAAATTTTAAGAGCTAATATATTACACTATTACGCCTAAGATTGTCAATCTGAGTTGGCCATGTTGCAATGGACCATGATGTTCCAAAATGAGTGATCTATATGGTCAAGTATTTGAATTAATAGGCATTTCTTGGTGTAAGTCAGGCTTTCTTTGCCATGCATACTTCTTTCATTGTGGTTTACACCTGTATGAATAATCTATCAGGTTAAGGATGAACCGTGAATGATCTCATTTCTAGTGGTATTCAGGTCGGAATAAATCATGCTAAATACATGTTTGTGGGTATGACTAACTACTTTGACAAAAAATATAGAGTCTTTATGAATAAGTGACGAAGGAAGTTGACAGAATAAAAAATTTTTTGTAGAGACAGGAAATACTTACAAATTTTTAGAATTTCTTTCTTTCTATCTTATCGTTTCTTTTTTATATCGCATAGATTCATAGAATATGTTTGTACAGACAAGAAATATTCAGAATTTTTTTTATTGCTGTCGCCTTTTACATTCTATAGAGTGAAAGATAGCGTAGTCAACAATAAATGTGTTCTAATGCTGTGCGAAAGCTCAATCTATTATTCAGGTTTATTGTCGCGTTTTTACTAAATATTTCTACTATCCCCCCCTCTTTTCTCCGTTGTAGTGCTTCGCTTATTTTGTTTTGGGATGGCTCATATCTGTGACGCTGTTTCACCATAATCAGGTTATTAATCTTTTAAATATGCATATATCGAAAGGCTATTTTGAGCGACCGTCATCGATGTGGAAGTTTTAAATGTTATTAATAACGTGCCAGAAATTATCAAAGCTTTCAGTTTTAACACGACGAAAAGAAAAAATATGATGTGAAGAGATAAAATCGTACATAACAGTCATCAGTGTGGTAGACAATATATGAAGACAGGGAAAATCCGACTTCCGCATTTCGTGATCCGGAAAATTATCAGTCGATTTCAACTACTATGACTGTGCATGATTCATTCACAGAAGAAAAAACTGTATCTGATGTTGAATAATCAAACTTTACGGGCATTTTCTTCAGTTTAAACAGCAAAACACATGATTAACCGAATTGTGTTGTTCGAACACATATCTTGTTTAGCAGATCAAAGACTGACTGGGTTTTGAAAGCTCATATCGCCCCAAGAGTAGTTTGATGAAAAAACATTCTTGCATATAGCATATATACTTTACATATAGCAAAAGATTATGCGCGAGTTCTTGGTAATTAGCTTTAGTGTCTTATTTGTCATAGTGAGGTGCTCTTCTATCCACTGTGAGCTCGCAAGCGACTGCTCTCTCCTCACCCTTGCTTTACTGCCATCCATATATGTGGGTAGTAGAACCAGTACTATGTAGTATCATGAATCCATACTTTCTACATATTTAAAATTGAGCAAATTAAGATTAATCTTTGTATTTTTTGACTCAATAAAATGCTTCTTTCATAGACGGTATATAAATATAAAACAGTTAATTTATTTTAAATAAACTGAAATGAATATTTCGGAAGAAAATAACGAAAGCTGTCATGAAGAAACTGGGGAAGCTTCACATTGGATGTACGCTATTCAAGCAGTTATAGCCATATTCATTGTAGTAGGTAAGTTGTTAACGATTTCGGCAAGTATATGCTATAGTGCAAGAGGTAACAGGCTTAGAATTGTAGTGCGTAAATTTACATCTGGATAAATGTTAAATAAAAGTGTCTGTATGAAATAAATGTACGCAACGCCGATGGTCATAAGGAATCACATAACGAAATTTGCCAGTTCGAAACTATACCTGTACTTACAATTGGATTGTGGTAAAAATTTCGACCCTCCAAATCCGATTACCTAAACGTACTTAGTGCTGTGAACCAGATGAATTGATCAACATTGTAGGTAATAACTGGTGCTATCACCTAACTATGATATGGAGTAATATTGTGTGATTCAATGTACGGTAACACCAGAAAGCAGAAACACTTAAGAGTGCGATCTCAAATAGACTAGTCAACCTATGTGGCTTTGACCTCATTGCAGTAGTTATGAACATCAGTGGGTCAGTTTATTCCGGCATTTACACACAATTTAATCTATTTATATGATCATCACTTCAAATAATAGCTAAATAGGAAATAACAAACACGAAAAATAGAACTTACAAATAACAAAATTCCAGAGCTCAGTGACAGAGGCGGCTCATCAAAAACACAGAAAGAGAGTGACTGGCGGGAGAACTCACGGATGTCAGATTATTAGTCGGAATTAGACAGCCAAGTTGGCTGATTAAAATATATTTGGGACTCGAATGTAATAAAGCATGAGAGTAATACAAGAAATTAATTATTAGCATCAAATTTTAAAAATTAAATCATTTCGTATAACCGAATGTGAATCTACTGCGCCTTTAAAATTAAATGGTATATCGGTATTAAATGGTATTAAGACTGGCAACGCTACGGAAAATAGATAACGCGAAAGACTTTTCTAGAACACAACCTAGTGTCCATAATTAAAATGAGGGAACATTTCTTACAAACATCACAGATATTTCTGCTCGAGAACATTTCGTTTGCTACAGCCTTTGTATAAATACAAACAAAGCTTTGTCACTTATTAGAATTGCAAGAGCAAAATGACAAATTGCGTAAGAACACCAGACCCTTGAGGTAATTTGAACATTTAAATATACTTAATGCATCGCGAATTTATGATCGTCATTTGGCGTATCGTCGAATGTCATATTTCAGACCCAAGGGATAACATGCAACCACACGGCCCATATCACAACAACCAATTGTTTAGATCATAAGCATTAGGGTATTGTTCAATTTTACCCAAATACCTAAAAATGAAGTGATACCGGTAGCGGTGATTTAGTGCTATATTTAATCTGATATCACTATCCTCTGGACGAAGGTAGATCGAGAGAGCTTGAGACCAGGCCATTGTCACCATTTGCATTTACTGTTACGTGCGTACGTTCATTGACGTTGTTTGAAAATGAATTTATGCCAATGAAGGAACAGACCTACCTGAATCTATAAAAGCCGTCTATTTGTTTACAAAACTAATTAGTGAAATACGTTTCAAAACGGCGACAAGAAAAATCTCATGAAATATTCATATTGTTTTCAACTTCAAAGTAATAGCGATGAATAAAATTGTGGCGCGTGGGACAACTTAACAATACCTATTTTTGAATGGTTGCTGCTTTTGTTTAGAAAAATTGAAAAATATATATATTCAAGTTAAAAACTGCAGAATTAATGGCTAATGAACAAGTTCCAACATTGTATATTGGTCTTATATGATTTGGAAACCAATATTCCGATGCTTCTAAATGACTAATGCTTTCGATACCGATACTTTTAACGAATTATTTCACATTGATGATGTTTTTTAATCCACATCCCAGATGATTTTATGCTTCTTTAAATGTGAACACGGCAATTTATTTCATAAATTTTACATTTGAGAAATATAATCTGTACAGAATAGTTTATCCGCAATTTTAAAGCATTATATTGCTTATAACATTATATTCACTATATCGACAATTTTTTTTCATTATAATCGTTAACCATAGTGTTTTAAATTTGTAAAATTTACCTTTAAAATGATTCACCGATCAGTGTTTTGCCTTTCTTCTTTCTCCCTTTCTTAGAACTAGCTTGTTCTATTTTCAACTTTTCACCGTGAAAAATAAAACGTTTATTCGGAAGCGTGATAATTCAAATTTTGATTCAGATAAATATTTTATTTAATTGCACGGTTTTATTTTAAATTTCGTAAAATCGATGATTTCTTGGTATTGAAGAAATCGATCAACGAATATGTGATTCTAGTGGTATTTTTAATCCCAAGATCAGCTGAAAAAAACTAAAAATTGGCTTTGATTTTACTATTTTTTTGTAATTTTGTATGTTTTCAGAAAATCTTATTATGATGATTGCAATCGTCCACAACTGGTATAATTTAACAAGACAACACAACATGTACCGTTACCTCGTGTCACTTGTCGTAGCTGATTTGCTATACGGAGTAATATTGCTCATTCATGGGATATTAACAGCAGTTAACTCTGCAGGACTAAGCGGGTACGTACGTAGAAATCACCCTTAACTATCTGTCGTGTAACTATACCAACGTTTAGGGTTTACTGCTCTTTAATACAGATATTTAGTATTTTCAAAATACACGGCGTGTATACGTATTTTTCGTTCTTTCACATGTGTCAGTGACATAATGACACTAGCTTCCATTTGGCCCGATCACACGTGATACTCATTTTAATAGTGCTCATTTAAATAATCAACTTTACTCAGCATTGTATTTTAGAGTTTTAAAGTTTAGGTAATGTTATATTATATAAATATCAATTTGGCATCTCATTACCGGCTAGTGACAGTTTGCGATTTCTGTACTTGGGGATGTCTAATATTTTGTATAAAATAAAGAGTCAGTTAGAAGCATAAGAATGAGTGAGTTACTGCAAAAATTCTTAAAAATTGTTTTGGAATGAAATAGATTTGGCTTGATTATATCGACCTAAATTTCATTCAATTTGTTCCGAGCTGATGAAAACCACAGTAACATTATATATATATATATATTGGCCGGAACGATTTTGGCAGATAAATGTTCCCAACTTAGCATAATGGCATTGGGGAAACTAATCATGAGTTCCACACATGTCGACATGAAATTTAATTAGATACGCAGTCCATTTCATCAATTTCTGAAAGTCATATCGAATTGATGAAAGCTGATTCGGCCCAAATGAGACAAATGGATTTTTTTTTTGTATTTCGATAATCTCTACTTTTTCATGGAGTACCACAAAATCGCTGCTTGCTATCGCAAACACAAACTAGCTTTCAAATCAAATTATATTGCTCACGCTTAAATCTCCAAGTGAAACTTCATTAAATAAAAGTGGAAAAATAGTGATATATAGTTGCACAGCTCAAAATTTATTATTGGAGTTGCTCGTTGCGCCGTACTCTGTTGCTATTATCCTAAAAAATTCACCTAAATGTTTGAATTTATTAAATACATGTTCGCTTTGGGGACAACACATCTTCATATTTTAAAAAGTTGAAAGTATACTATAAAAGGTATAAATGAAAACTGTATGGAGTTCGTGTGTCATATTAAACCGGTTGCAGCTTTCAAACCTCCCATTTATAGCCTGTTATGAGAGCTTCCCGACCTCCCTGCAAAGGTCGCTGTTCTAAAACCAATAATCCAACAGGAAAAAAGCGAAACGTCATCCACGGTATGGGGGGGCAAAAGACGACAGCTAACTCGTGTAAGCTTATATCAAATTACTTCTACGACACGATGTTTTCTTATATAATATTAATGTACTAGGTAATTCTCAGTACCTTGTGGTATCTCGTCTCATGATTTTAAAGGAGAACACGTTTGGGTTGCACTTGCCTTTTTCACGTACTGTCTAGCATGACCATGCTCAATAAATAACAGTTTCTGTTTGGGGCAGAATATGGGTAGGTTTCCGGTGTTTAATCGAATACCACCGACATAAAATATCTACAAGTCATATTTTTTACATGGTTGCTAGAAGGCTGCATGATAAAAGTCATGACTATTTATTTTTTTGTACATTGAACAAATTTCCTTTCAGACATATTAGTCTTTTTTTATCATTTTCACTCTGGTTATGATTATTTGGGAGAATAGCAGTCTTTTATCTACCCATTTAATACCTACTACTGTCTTCAAATTGTCAACTCTTATTAAAAATAATCAAAACATTACCAAATGATAAACTGGTATTCTTCACGAACTCAACTTGAGGCTATAATAATATCCAGTCAGAATGTTTGAATTTGGAAACATTTGTCTCATTCACAACCAAATTAGTGAGATTTTGAGAAATATTCGTATATCGAAATGAGATCATACTTTTACTCATTAAATCTAAAAGCGCTTATTCCCGCGTCATCATTGATACTCACGGGAATTGGTTGTGTATGTAGTAAAAACAAGCCGGAATTTTTAAACCACAACAATTTGGCCAACATTAGACAACGTGAATATATGCGAATAAGTGTATACTGAGTATTTCTTGTACCTTTGCTCAAGGTATGAGAAATTGTATATATATGAAATTGTACACACGTACTGTGTTTATTGCGCCTGTACTTGACCAAGGCGTGTTGCAGTTGTAGGTCACCAATACAGCAAATTACAAGTTCCAAATAAAGTTTTCATGGCCGATGTCTGGGTATGATTTATATACTCTCTCTAAGTCTAATATAATACAAACAATTACGAGCCGGCGGCAGTACTTACTCTCAGTACATGGATATCAAACTATTAATGGGGTTATTTCATTATTGCCACATGAAAATTTAAACGAAATACGAGCCATTTATTAAACATATTCATCTATCAGGGTGGTCAAAACCCAGGCCGGCCGCTTCATTATCTGTGGCCCGCGTCGCATTTGCGGGAGGGTAATCAAAAAATCATTTGGTGTTGTTTCGTCATAGAAATAACCAGTAAAATCTTCTGACATATTGTTACATCCCTAATTTCACGGAATTGACTGGTGTAATGGCTAGCTGAGGCAACAAGCAAAGTTGAATAATGTGCTTGGCTAGTCTAAAATGTTAACTGGCTTCCATCTTTTTGATCGGGAATATATTCTAACAAAATAGGCTTCATCGAAAACTAAAATTCGAATGAGGAATCTATTAGCCTAGGTTGGCTATGCCTGATAACTGAATAATAATATTATGGCCGAACAATATAATTTCTACTAGCCTGAACAGTATTACAAAAAATGCTGCCTGTATGTCAGAAAATTTATTAATCTCAAATTTCGTAACATTCGGTAATCAATCAATCTGCAGTTATTTTGTAAACATGAGTTTGAAAACAAAGTTGACCAATTCAAACAGATTTTTGACTGGACATGAAAGAGAAAATACTACAATGCATGCTTGATATGGCTGCAAGTTGTGTCGGTGACAATTTGAAGCGGCATTTTCTCTTTGTGACACATTCTCCGTTATTAAGAGTTTAAAATCTTACACTAAATGTAGATATAGTAAGATTTTTGCACATGTTTTAGCTTGACAAATTACAAATAATGATCATTGTGTTTGGACAATAAAAGTGTTTGTTTTGTATTGCACTGTTTACCCATTCTTGGCTATTGTGGCCCGCGAACAATACAAAAATAATATCGTGGCCCTCGAAGCCGACAACCTTGGACCACCCTGATCTATATGTTGCTTTTATCGGGTTTTCTAAATTGAAGTCCTGGTTATGAAAAAGGACATTTTAAATCACTGCCTTTCTTGAATATTTGATTTGACCGGATATCTGATTGTCAAACAAAGAACAAAATTACTGTTTGAAATTTCCAGTTGAAGATACATTATAAATGTGTCACATGCAACGTCACACGTTTTGGTTCGCTATCGGTAGTGCGCGATCTCATTACCCCCAAGGTCAAAGGCTATTCCATGCAGCAATCCGCCCAACGGCCGTTTTAATATTACATCACTGTTGAAAATTTAAATGTTTTTTTTTTTGAAAATATTCGTTTTATGACACCAGGCATCAAAGATGCCCGATGTTAGCAACATTAGTGCCAGTACTTGCTCATTTTGATTTGTGAGAAATTAGACAAAATGCATCAATAGAGAGAACAAGAGAGCTATGCTCAAATATATGGACACGTAGAGTCACGTAATTTTGATGACGTCATAGCAAAAAAAAAGTAATAGCCTTCTGGAGAAATTTTTTATCTTTAACCACTGAAAATTTCAAAGCAATTGGTCCAGTATTCGAAGAGGAAAGCGATTTCTTCAAAACGTGTTGACGGAGACAAATAATAACAATAACAACAAAATTTTGAAACGATCGTTATGTCCACTACGTGTCCAATAAGTCACAGTAGCACAATTTTGAACCCGTTGAACCAAACCACTTCACAAGACAGATGTAGTCGGTATTACACAGTGCAAACATATTTGAGTTTACTGATTTGGTATAGTATATAGCAGCCATTATTTATACTTATAATACATTAAGATACTTTCGTCAACACAAAAATTTAATCTGTCACGAAATTTCCTATATTTTTGTGACTGGATGACTTATGATCCCACAGTCCATTATTACAGTCCAAAATCCATTATTTATCGGGTTGGTGGCTAATGCCGGACTAAAATTTCCATCCTGAATTAATTAAAAATATCCATGGCCTGTGAAGAATGCTCTTTCGATTTAAGCACGCCTTGATTAATATTTTATATCTCAAGTTTTTTGCCGCGTGATTAGGATCTTCAAGAGGTAAACGCCCGATAGAATACAGCGTTGTTTACCGTGTCATATTCTCATTTATTCCATAAATATTGTAAATTAAATACGATTGGCGCTTTATAAACTGAATTCAATCTTTCTGTCCCCGTGGTGTGAAATTGCTAAGGTCATGTGGATTCGTGGAGCGTGCATAACCTCAATAAACTATTATTCTTCATATTTATATCCAAGTCACAAACAAGAAATGGAATTGAAATTGTAATATCATCACTATAATAGTATAGCCATGTTGTTGTCGTTTCTAAAACATTGCTTATGCTGTTTTATAATGTTTGTGGGGTTTCAAACATCAAGTAATATCTTTGGCCAAGTTAAAAATTGTCTAATATTGAAACCAAGCCCAACAAAGGCATAATTCTGTAAATTAGGCAGAGCCGCAAGTTCAAACTGTCTACCTTGAAGTGGATACGGGTACATGAAACTTGTTTCAATATCAATCTGATTATTAGTTACATAAGTTTCGTCGATTTTTTTCTAGATTGGTATAAAATTTTCCTTCAAATTATTCCAATAAATTTATTTATTGGTCACCAACAATTTAAGATACTCATCATGATGCAGCGCCCTGTCTACAGTAGTAAACAAACAATGATAAAACGGGATCGTTTAGTATTGCTTTCAATACTTTCATTATCTCCATCTAAGTTTATATTAGATTCTACGTATTTATTACTAAAATATTTGCTGAAATTTGTTTGCATGTGCGGGCGTGAAACCTTTAGCAAATTATTATTAATAATAATGTATCTTACTGAGCATCATTAACGTCATACGTCTAATTCGTTAAACATTTTATTATATTCTATTTACAGAGAAAGTCTTCTCAAAAATGAATTGAAAGACATAGCTAATAACCTGATAACTGGTGTAATACACGGGAGTTGTTTTGCAGCTCTTGCTAGTGCATCTTTGCTGAATCTTGTAAGTACTTTGACTTTTAAGTTTAGGATTCATATTGTAATGAGTTCAGTTTAAACTATGAATGATAAATTCTACCGAGAAAATACATAAGATCAAAATTAGAACCGAAAGTCATGTATGCCAGGAAGCTAACAACAAAACTGTACTGCAATCTAACATTGATTTTTTTTACATAATAGTATATATAGATATATATATCAGCTATAGCAATGTGATGTATTATTTCGATTCTAGCTTATTAGAAAATCTTTACAGGTTCTTCGAATGACTTACACCAGAGCTCTTGCTAGGGCGGCGGCAATAGAAGCAGAGAGACCCAGACGATTTTCGTTTTTACGTTTTCCTTCCTTGAGATGTCCAAAAACCACAAGAGTTCTCATTGGATTTATATGGGCTCTCACATTAACTTTTATTGTGACTCCGTTGAAAATACACTGTCATCAACATATAACGAGATGCACTAATGACTTCAAGACTTATAAAATAAATATACTTGAAGAAAAAATCACTCCAGTTATGGACAGTCTTAAAAGTAAGTTATTACAATGGACTAATAAGTAAAAAAGCATATAAAAATAGGCATTTTTTTATTATAATTGTTGAGTAAACAATCAATTAAATTTTATCGATGCTGAGAAATTGAAAGTAGAAATTTTTGTTCAAAAACAAAACGTGTAGAATAGCTTTTCTAAGATAATAAATTTAAAATAATAAATGTTTTTTCTTGCAAATAATATTTTGTGAAAAGGATCTTTTTTTCTAAATTTATGTGTTTAATAAGTGTGTAAAATGCTCTCATTTCCAATGCTAATTACAAATTACACATATCGAACAAGTTATTAGTTTTATTGATGTTTATTGATTTTTTGAAGTAACAAACCTAATATCATGGTCATTAGATATTATGCTCATACATGTATGCATTTCTATTTCATAATTTTTTTCGACCCTTTGAAGCTAATCATGCATTTACTAATTTCTGGTATGTTTTAAATCAAATCAATTTTAAAGTTTTAATCGAACGGCAATCAAACTTGATCTTGAATATAACTTCGTGGTCAAAATAAGTAATATTTTATTCTTTTCGGCCCCTGGATTAAGGATAGAAATTGATTCACAATTCACTCCCGGTGAAAAATAAAGAAAATAGTGTTTCTACCAATAATTTTAAAATCATTCCAACAATGCTGATCGTTAATAATTTTCAATCTTATCCATCAATAACAAATTTTATGAATATGTTTTGTCCTTCAATAATTTTATTTCGGCAATCCCAATCAACAAGCGCTTAATATTTTCGTGTTTTAACAAATTACCATCAATAAAAATTTTCGTTAAAAAAAAAAATTGTTTGTGTTTTTTTCAACCATTTGTATATAAAAGGCTTTATTCCGCGGTTGGTCTGAATAACGTGCAAAATTTAACGTTTCCAATGGCAGCTTAGGATTAAGCGTAAACTTAGTACATGCACTTATTTTACTTAGCGGAGAAAAATCGATACAAATGCATAATGACACTTATTGCGGGCACTAAGAAGATCGATAAATCAGAAACGTATTTTTTATCTTACAATCCGATTATGTATCAACGATGAAGTCAATATTCGCACACGTAAAATCTCATTATTATGTTTCACTATATAAAAAGTATGATGAATTGTTAGATCATTCTACCTATACTACGTATTCATGTGCGCAATTAGAGTGATAGTAATATACGTACGTAATATATTGTCAAAAACGAACACACTAATAATTCATCATTATCCGAGTCGATTCATTTTTTTTTATAAAAAAGAATATTTTATTTAAATTTTTACCAAATATTTGCAATGAGAAGATATGCTTATTTTAAAAATAATATAAACAATTAAAAAAAACAGTGAATTAAAATTAAAATGACAATGTTCAGAGGCTAATCAAATGTTTATAATGGAATCATTTACGCTTTCTGCCATTAACGCGGATCTTATACCAATCTTATACCAACTACTTATCAAGTTAAGATTATAGCTTATTTTTTGTGTGTGGTTTTAGGTTTTTCTGCTCATGAAGAAGGAATCGGAAAAATGGATTGCTCCTTTCTTCGCCCACCAAACAGTCGGTCATACATCTTGATATTGAATTTTTGCATAACTGTTTCATGGTGTCTTATGCTTATATGCAACATGATGACAATATTCATAAGAACAACTGTTAGAAAGGTCAGTTAGAACTACACTCATTTAAAAATGTGAAAATAAGGTAGAGTAAAGCGCTATATGTTAATCTTAGGTCTAACTTTTTTAAATAATTTTTGTGAATATAACAATTAAAATTTAGACTACCATGTTAAGTTTATGAGTAATTGATTTACGCACCAATCCAGCTTCCCATCCAACATTGGCATCTAGTTAACGAAACTTAAAATGCTAATTCCGTCGTTTTCTTTTATTTTTAATTTCTTGAATTTTTTTTAAACAAAGAGTGTTCGTGCTGTGAGTGGCGACATCATTTTGACTTTGAGGCACAAGCCAGGATTCACGTGGGACCATTCATCACTTCTCGTGGGAATAATCACATTAACTATGACAATATCTACAATTCCATATGTTATCTTCAGCTTCACCACGGAAGGAGGTAAGCCAATACAAATTTCTCGCGTACGCTTTATTTACATACAATACATTGTTTTTGTGATTGTAGCTCCTAAAGTTTATTTACTTGCTGTAGTCTCAATTCCAAGACCTGCTGTTATAAAACGAATTGAACGCACTCCCATACACACAAAATCCGATAAATACGGTATGGCAATTAGTATGATTTAATGAATCATCTACGCTGTGGTATAGGTTCCATATGTTGTAACATTGTCTTTCAAAGTGAATCAAGTTCATTCAAAGCATCCTAGGTGACCATGTGAATCAAGTCTAGTCGTGGGAAAAGAGATAGACCTATTTCTCTTAGAATATATATATGGAACAGACTTTAACTCGTATAACTTGTGCATCAATTATTTTAAACAGATTATTCAATTAATGCTAAATGAACAGAGACTTCACGCTTAGACTCTGCTCCGAACAATAAAATCAGTGCATAAGGACCCTTGCACGAAAATATTAAATTTAAAACGGCAATGGTGCCCGTGAGCTTATATATTTCTTGCTTGTTGTTCGCCTAAGTAATTGTTCGATCGCTGTATGAAAATCCGGGTCGAAAATTAAATCAGCTCTTCGTGGCAAGTGCTATTACAGATTTAATATTCAGGTAATCAATCACCTGGCTCGTTACATGAATAATCAATTACCCTTAGACCTTGGAATCGTTCAATAAGCTCTTGACGTAAGCAACCTTGATGCATTTTCTGACCTGTTATTGGTAATCGAATTTGTTTGTCGACCCTATAGGAAGCCTTGAACAAAGACGTATAATGCCATATTATTAAATTTATGCGGATTTTTGCGGCGATGTACCATGAAACATACACGAGTTAAAATATGATTAACCTCCAGTTTGGGCTATTACGTAAATGTATTGCGTTGCGAAAATCTCATTATTGCCTTGAGAGGTGTAACGTTAGTTTATAAAGTGGCGGTAATGCGATTAATCGCCTTTCACTCTAGTTGGATGCTTTGAAATACGAAATTAGCTACATGAACACTACTCAAAGTTATCCATTGATGTTTGTCCTACGGACGCTGTTTGGAAACTTGCTTTTGCACAAATCATTTCCAATTCTGTTTCTATGGCGTTCATGACAATGGCAGAGTTGAAACTAATATTATTTCATTTTAATACAACTGGAAATCTTCTGTCTATATTTTTGAAGTGCAACTTGTATTTCTGTGGGAAACGCTGAAATTAGTTTTCAGTTTCGGATTCATGAGTAGTTAGTCATTGATCTTGTTTTAATTTTTGTCATCCTTGCTACTATAATTATCCTGAATCCGTATTTATTATATCTTCTTTTTTTAGGTTATCTTGAGCAAAGGTTGTATTATGCGTCTACTTTAGCACCGAATACAGCAGCAGGATTAGAAATGACGACATCGATCTCAAGTTTACTCAATCCGTTTATATACACTGCAATGTTAGGAAAACTACGGAGTGACATAGCAAGACTTATTCAACAATGCCACAAAAAAGCAGCGAGAGTATGCGCCAACGGTGCCGATTGCATTACATGCAAGAGAGGTTTATATTTTCATAATTTTATTAGGATTGCACAGAATCGATGCATAGAAAATGTTAAGCACTGGATCCATTTTATCTCAAGTTACTTTCGCTTCAACAATCACCTAGGTATACCAATAATTGCTAACGAACAAAGAACTATAGAAAATTCGGCGTTTCAAAAGTTTGTGTACCAATATGGAGGTAACTATTTTGTTTCGCCTACCTTACATCAAGTTGTGTAAAGGGACGGGAAGCCTATGCGCAGGAAGTATTTATATTCACTAGGCTAACAAAGACAGTCCCCGAACTCGTAATAGAACTGAAATAAGGATCATCGAAATAAAATTATGGCCTAACCCTAACCTGGTACACACACTACGGGAGTGCCGACAATTCAGTAAGGTACTTGAGCTGCTCATTTAAAGGGTCATCGTTCTTTTGCTTTGCAGAGCGAGCTATGAAAGACGATGGGGTCTGTGAAGAAGATGCAGAAGCCTGTCCCTGTCAAAAGGAACCAATTGTCGAAGAAACAAATTGCTCTAAACTTTCTCAAACTGGGAAGTGCAAAGTTAACGACAGAGCACCAGAACTTCAGTCATGTACAGAAAAAAATGAGCACGTCATCAAAAGCTGAATTCGGTCAAATGAATAGAGAAAGAAGGCCTGCCATCTTTGCACAATGAGGCAACTTGACAATGGTAGAAATCAAACCGTATAAGTTAGTCGGAGTCGACTGATTCCGACAAAAGCGGTAGTAAATAGCTTGAATGTAAAAGCTCACCGCTTTTCTCACTGTGGTCGTAATAACTTTCGTAGGCTGGGTCTCATTACCAAGCATTTTGAATGCGAGGCCAGCGGTGAGGATTGCGGTGGTAGTCGCTACTGATTTATGATTCGAACCTAAAACTATACGGATTAGATTGGGAATATTTTAGTTCTGCTAGCATACTGCGGTATACTCATATTTAAATCAACTAAAATTAGGATAGAAATTGAAATATTGAAATGGATGAATAAGAGCATCGGCATGCTTGGCTGCATGAGAAGAAAAAAAACATCACATATATTGTGAAAAGGAAATCAATAAATTTATTATGTTATAAATGATATTTGCATATATTTAAGTGTGTTTAAGGTAAAGTAATGATGGACATCGCCATTTAATTGCAGTTTGTTCCGACCTATGTCGGATACGCAATCATTCTAACCTATCGATGCCAATTTCAATTTCATTATAGATACGTAGGATGGTCTACTGCAGGTGTCAACTTTTTGTCGCTCGCGAGCCAAAATTAAGGGTTGCAAGCCGTGTCGCACATATTTTTAGAAAGTTAAAAACCGAACGGATGGCTGATGAATCACAATTTTTTCACACATGTCAGAAGTGGGGATTTTAAATTTTGAGCAGCGCGCGAAGACTCAACTTACTTCAAGAAAAAAATATACACATGACATTTGAGTAATGTGACACTTTTTGTTGCATCACGCCTGTCGCCTGATACGATTTCGACATCAATGAATGGGACACTGGATAAAGCCAAGATTAAAACATTTTATGAATGAGAATCACTTATCTGAGTTCTCCGCTTGTTCTTTGTAATGTTCCAGTTCGAAAATAATTGCATGCATGCATGGCTACTTCCAAACATCGATGGAATTTTTTCGCATGGTTTGTCAAATTTGGATGCAGTTTTCCTTCAAGAAGATACTTTTTATAAAAATCAAGCAGTGATACATTTCTCGAATAGAATACATATTTATTTCCTCATTGCATCTCAAAAATTCCCATTTGTTTATTTTCTGCGCCATTGAACCCATTGCACTTAGAATCAACTATTCTGCGTTTTGTTGCCATTCGTCTAACTATAATTAAATTATAGGCTCATTAAACGTGTAATTGTGAATATATACTTGTTAGGTTATATATAATATAATTCAGTCTACACGTGTCTCATAATAAATTCTGTTACGTAAAGAATATAATGTTCAAGACAGCCGTTTTGTTACTATAATGCAGGGGGGGCCAACACGTCGATCGCGATCGACCGGTTGATCGTCACGTCTCGATTAGTCGATCGCGTCTGATTTTGAGTGAATTTTAATAACATACTTCAAAAATTTACCTTAAAACAGTTTTATTCAGCGCCTGTTGTGTGTTTTAAAAAAGGAAGAATACAGTACTTTACATACGTGGAATATGATATGCACATACACTGTCTGAGTCTGGGCAAGTCGATAGAGCATATTCTTACATAACAAATGCAAGTTTCGACGCTGGCGAGGTTTAGAAACGAATGTGCCGAATACCATGTGTTTTGACTGAGAAACGATCCTACAATAACTTCTGCAGTGTGCGAAAGTTATTATGTCACTCCAAGGGTAGTGTGATAAAATTTCTTCACAAAAGTAACAGTGACATTAGAGAGCCCAATTTTTTCTGATTCCAAGCAAGCGAAGAATCGGACTTATACTACGAAGGTACAATCAGTCATGTAACATTTACGGTTTGAGAATATTTATTTTTCGCTGTTTAGATATATAATGCATGAATACTTGGCAAGTTTTTTGACGAGTTTTCAACACGTATGATTAGGAGTTAGTCAGGCCAAAGTTCTGAATTGTATAATTTGAATAATTTTTGAATAAATGATGAAACATGTACATAATCAAAATTACAAATTGAATGCAAAATACAAATTTTTGGGGCAATTTTATTAAGAGTGCGCCCACAGAGCCGAGCTTATTGGCGGCGGTGGAGTTTTTATATGCGTGTGTGTAGCTATCTGCTTATTCAGAATACTCATCCGTTTCTGTGTATGACCTTATTACCGATCGGTCGATCGCGAGCTATTTTGAATATCTTAGTCCATAGCGGCCGAAAGCAGGTTGGCCACCCCTGCTATAATTCAGTGAAGCGCCGCGAGCCGCATCTGGTCCACGGACCGTAGTTTGCCGACCCCTGGTCTACTTGGTCAAACGTAAATCAACATTCAGCAAGCATTATCTAAAGCAGGGCTTCCCAACGTGGTCCAGGTGGATACCCAGGGTTCACAGTGCGATTACCGGGTGTCCACAGATAAAGTGCGAATGACTGGGCAGCACGTTGACTAAACCGCCCCACCGAGTTGTCTCAAGGTACTTAATTGAAAAGGGAAATAATAAAATAACTGAATAAACCTATTACTTGACAATTTTGATTTGGAATTGTAATCCCAAATTCGTCTTTTTAATCGAGCCCAATCTCCGACTTCAAACATTAATTAGGTACGTTTCATTTCTTTTAACATCATTTTGCAATTTCACGATTACCGCCACTTTGCTCAGCGAACTCGTTGCTACTCTTTAACCAGTTACTTTACTAAAGTACATGTAACAAGTCATGTCCCCCAGCCTCATCAGATTTATTCAGACCGATGCAATAAAATGAATATGGGAAAACACGAATATGAGTGGTGCCCATGCAATTTAGTCTCATACTTTCCTTCAAATTGAGTGACGTCGAATGACGTGAATAATGACCCTGTAACGTTTCTATACATATATTGAGACAATTCATATCCTCCAAGATTTTTCTAGAAGAGTAAGTAAAATAGTTGCGTCCACCAGAAAAGAAACGTAACGCACGCTGTGATTTGTCACCAAAATCGTTTTTCAAAACTTTTCTAATTTAATAAGTTCGACCTCTCAACTTGACAAAAAACAACATATTATAACAAATGGAATTTATTTGGAATAATTTTAATACAAATTGCACTTATAAAACTGCACTATTATTACGAGTGCAATTTCAACAAAATCAAATATGTAATTCTTCCAACTTGTTATTAAGATTTCAACTGAAATTTTAAAAACTAAGTTTTTTCTCAAAAATATTATTATCCATACTTTTGAAAACATCAAATTTATTAATACAAATTTTATGAAATGGTAGTCTTCGAGTGGGGTGTTGCGTCAACAATAGCTCGTCTGTATGATTTTGATAGTGAAGACAAAAGTTTTAAGGCCTTTACACATTATCAATGAAAGGCTCTTCGACTATATTCATTCAAAAATGCAGGTTAGAAAATTACTTTGAGAAAAGCCAGTCAGAGGATGAACTACTCCTACTTATGTAATTAAGTATAAGTTGGCACTGCTTTCAATAATTTTGAAATATATATAGTCACAGTTTTTGAATTTTATCTATATCCACCATCTTTACTCATAAGCGAGTCTCCTTCGTCGTCTCCAACTTCTTCTACAAGACCTTGTTGATCGCCTGAACCAGACGTCATGAAGGTTCGCAGGCCAGGAGTTGTTGACAAGAAGTCACGAAATGATACGCTAGGCAGCTGAAGAACGTAGTTTCCTTTTCCACTTCGTGATTTATAATAATAAAACACTACACACGCAAATCCAATTATAATCAGCACGACGAAAACCAAAATAATTGGAAGAGCAATGTTACCTGTGAAATGAGAATATGAAATAGTATTAGGGAATGATGTGATATAATACAAAATTTATCTAGTCTTATATGGAATTTATCGAAGATAAAATGAAACATGTTGCTTGCATTTGATAGTGTTTTTGAGCTATTTGATGCCGAGATAAAGCCAACTCAATTTACGAAGTTAATGTAAGAATACTTACTTGCTGCGGGCTTTGGACCTATAGTTTTTCCAGAATTTCCAGATCCGTCTAAAATAAGTCAATGTATAGTTTTATTAATTATTTTCAACAATTAACAGTTGATGTACCTAAGCCAATATGAAATTTGCTGGCCTGTTTTCTCATTATAATTTATCAATGATCACATTTGGCAACAGAATCCAAGCAGGAATTGTAATCCATAAAAATATACTTTAAATAGTAAAATAGAAACACCAAAATGAATTGAAACAAGTATTGGAGCGAGTATTTATTTTCACAATAGTTTGCAGATGATAACATAACGGATATACAAGTATGCGTATTTCTAGATTAATACAATCATATCTAAAACCGGATTGATATAGTGATATCTCTAGTCACGTTCGCTGTTTCCTGCAGAATTATATTTTTATTGTTGGCAATTGGTACATTGTATACCGAGTGACACAATAATATTTCTATTTTCAAATCCAGGTAATTCAATGAAATCTAATTATATAAAGAAGTTTGTACGTCTTTTGCAATATACCGATATCCAAATGCACCATCGTTAATAACATTTCACGTCGGGATTGTAGCACGATTATGGTGGCCCATCGTTGTCACGCGTAAAATTGAAAATAAAAAATAAAATAAAAAACCGAAAATAAAAAAATAGTTGTGAAAAAACATAAAAATAATTGAAAAAAAAAAATAATAAAAAAAATTAAAATTAAAAAAAAAAAATTGAAAATAAAAACGAAAAAAAAAGTATGGAAAAAAAAATTGAAAAAAAAAAAATTGAAAAAAAAAAAAAAATTGAACAAAAAGAAATAAAAAGGTTGACAACGATGGTCCGCCTCATGGCCCATCGTTGTCACGCGTTTTTATTTTTAAAAAATTTGCTTCTGCTTGGGACCAACGTTGCCAGGCATAATCCTACGCGCACAAATGTGTTCACTGGGTTTCCAACTCACTACTGATTTTCTTGAGCAATATTCAATATGAAAATGTTCTATAAATTCTCCATGCTGCAAGTTCAACAAGACGTAATATATTTATAATAAGGATAAGAGAATATAGAATTGAATACGAAAATTCGGAAAATTTGTTTTTACGTGTAGAAGGTAATTGAATTGGAGAATGCTGCTTAACTACTCAGTTGTCTGGACACTCGCGATGCCGGTACCGTACCGTCTTACCAAATACCGGTAGTCGGTTATAGTCCCTTTGCGTCTGACCGTACCGGTAGCCATGCAATCACTCATGAAAGAATGGGAGATACGGATAGTCTCGTAGAATATAGACTACTGAGACACTCTCTGCGCCTGCCCCATACCGTACAGTACCGATCCAGACAAGTGATAAATCGCCCGTGCTCAACCATTTATTTCAATCCATACCTCGATCCTAGTAGAATATAGTGAGTCGAGGTATGAATTGAAATAAATGGTTGAGCAAGGGCGATTTATCATTTGTCTGGATCGGTACGTTACGGCTGTACGGTATGGGGCAGGCGCAGAGAGTGTTTCAGTAGTCTATATTCTACGAGACTATCCGTATCTCCCATTCTTTCATGAGTGATTGCATGGTCAGACGGTACCGTACCGGCATCGCACGAGTGTCCAGACAACTGAGCAGTTAAGCCACATTTTCCAATTAAATTACCTTCTACACGTAAAAACAATTTTTCGTATTCAATTCTATATTCTCTTATCATTATTATAATTATATTGCTTGTGGTTGAACTTGTAGCATGAAGAATTTATAGAACATTTTCATGTTGAATTTATTAAATATTGCTCATGAAAATCAGTAGTGAGTTAGAAACCCAGGAAACACATTTGTGCGTGTAGGATTAGGCCTGACAACGTTGGTCCCAATCAGCATCAAATTTTCTAAAAATAAAAACGCGTGACAACGATGGGCCACGAGGCGGACCATCGTTGTCAACCTTTTTATTTTCTTTTTATCTAATTTTTTTTTTTTTTTTTCTAATTTTTTTTTTTCGTTTTTTTTTAATTTTTTTTTTATTTTTTTTTTCATTTCTTTTTTTTCAATTATTTTTATGTTTTTTCACAACTATTTTTTTATTTTCGCTTTTTCATTTTATTTTTTAATTTTTTCTTTTTAATTTTACGCGTGACAACGATGGGCCACCATACACGATCCCTAATTGCTACATGCAGAAGTTTCTTACCTAACATTTTTGGTATCTTACAAACTGAAATTCCAATTTTGTTACATGTCGTATCGTACCATTTGCCATTCGACACAGATAATTCGGTGCAAACCTCCTGCAAAATGTAAGTAAAGCACTTGTGAATAGAGAACTAACTGTATGCAAGATACAATTAATATAAACTAATTCCAAATTAACAAACGATAATTTTAATCCACTGCTCTACTTCAAAATTGGACTAATCTAAAACAAAAACTAATAAATCATAACGGATTAGACATATTTCTTACTTTAAACAGTCCACCACTTTTTGTAGGTTCTTTTTCCTGCCAGTTTAGATAAGACAGAGCTGAATTGTCTGTCCACGAGTAACTGTCATCATCCAGCGATCTGTACAATCCTATCCAACTAGTAAAAGAAAATAACAATATTGATGCGACTTCAATAAATTTGCAAATTTGTTCGGAGAAACCATAAAAAAGTTTGAATCACGAAATGATGTGTTTAATTGCAATTGTAAATAAAAGAACACTGTGATTACACCTTTAAATATACAAATTGGGAAAAAATGATGAATCCACATACACATTGCGCCGAATGAATGAAGATGATCTCGTGTTGGCTGACTGACGCATAATAAAATTGGATTCATCTTCCGAATGTATGCTCTGGATTAACCAATCATGCCAAGAATCACAAAGACTTTGGAAATGAATGCATAGAATGAATGATCTACTATTGAATTATAAATTTGCCTTGCTTATCGCCGGTGGTACTAAAATTTTGTTTGTGAAATTTTTCAGAGGAAAAAGGTGTAGTTAAAACTAGCAATTGCTAGATTTACCCACTAATGAATGAAATAACGCGATCGCACGCAATACAGCAGACGGAAATGAACTCAGACATAGTTGCAACGCACAATGTTGTTCATAACTTCTAATGGTATCGATGCATTATTTTCACCATTTGCATCCGGACATTATACACACGGTCATATGCACAGGCGAACATTTGAACTGGCAAGCATTTCCACCCACATATTCACATGGGCATATAGATTATACCCGCGGACATTCTTATCCAGCCATATGCACTCACGTAGGACTACATTTGCACACTTAGGCGTATGCATCCAAACATATTTGCACCCAGTGCATTTGTATCAATCGTCATATGCAACCCCGTACATTTGCACCCACAGTAATATAGAACTCAGTACATTTGATCTCACAGTCATATGCACGTGCGAAATTTGCCTTCAGTACAGAGGAACAGAGGTAACCCTAACCTGGTACGTATGCTACGAAAGTACCACCATTTGCACCCATAGTCACATATATTTCCCACTCCGTACATTTTCACTAAAAGTCAAGTCATATGCAGCCACAGTCACATGGGTCACTTAACATTGGCATCCTTGGACTTTTGCAACCCAGTATATTAGCACCAGCTGACATTTGTATCCGGATCATTTGCACTCACAATCATATACACCCCTATTCATTTGCACCCATAAATGAATGACTTTGACCTGTGCAAACGTTTGTGAATGCCTTTTCCATGGATGCAATGTGTATGTGGGTGCAAACTTATGGGAAAGCAATCGTCAGTAGGTGTAAAATTATGCAGGTACAAAAGTGAATGTGTGCAATCTGTATGCACGTGCAAATGTCCTGGGTTCCGTTAAGTGGTGGAAATGTACATGGGTACAGAGATAACCTAAACGAGAGAATTGAGATTAAGCACTTCTGCACCACATTGCAATGTGACTATATCATCTGTTCAATTGATGTTAATGTAGAATTTTAATTAGCACGTTCGTTGGCTTTTGTATGAATGACTTATTATTATACATAATCTTTCGGAACAATAAAGTGACGAAGTTCTCATTTTGCTACACAAACAGACGGGGTTTTATTAGTTATTGTGTGGCCACATTTGTGCTGCTTTTATTTGTAGCCAAGGTTAATCTACTTTTGAGGAACCGATACTTCGAATCATAAATCAGATTTGATGTTAACTTGTTCAAGTGCAAAGTTTCTTCTTTGACAAATGAGGCGAAGTTTGGCACGCACTTATAGACCTTTTTCTATCGGTATTTCTCTCGTTTAAAAATTAGATTTCTTAGACTTGTGCTTTGCTTGTTTCTTTTATTTGTACTGAGAGCTTTTGTTGCAATACAGGGTTAATTTAAAGCAAGTACAGTACAATGACGTAGACAAGAATTTCTGATTGCCAAGTTAGACTGTAACAGCTGGAGTTTTTCAATGGGTTTCAAGAGGGTTTTAAAAAGGCTTTAACCAAACTAAAATTGCTATGTATAATAAAGAATATGTTATTTTACATTTCCAAAAAGGAGGCTCGGACCATGTGTGCTGACCCACTGACTACCACAGCATTAAAGATTTCAGAACAAAGGTATTTTTTGGTCGATTAAGAAGCCCACCACCTTAAATGTCTATGATCAAATACATTTAGAATTGTACCATCGGCAGCTTTTGGGAGCCCCAGTGATAGGGACAGATGTTTAGAAAGCACTCCACAGCTTTCCAAACCAGACTCAATAAATCCCGTACCATACCATATTTAACCCTGAAAATTCTTTCTCTCGTGGCTCACATAGGGCTTAGTGGTTTATTCATGATGTTTGCAACGCTCTGCGTAAAGGCTTATTCTATCATTATTTCTCTCTTTCAAATTAGCAATGAGCAATTCTGTTGCAATATATTTCCAGAAATAGTCTTGAAGGTCTAAAAAACGTTTCAACCTACAAAAAATTGGTATGTAAGATAGGGAATATTTTTTATATTTTAAAAAGGGTGGGTCCGACGCTTAACCCGCCCTTTTTTCTACGCCCCTAGTACAGTATACCTGCCGAAAGCCCGTTAAACCGTGTCATTGAAAATATGTTTAGCAAAGTCATATAGCCTATACTTGGTATTAGTTAAAGCTAAGCTTGGTTGACATGGGACAGTCGAGATTTTTCCAAAAATATTCTTCTTTGTGCGGGTGTGTTGGCTCGCTGACTATGACGGCATCCAAGACATTTAAGCGAAGGTATTTTGTTTGTCGAACAAGAACAGACCGCGGATAAAACCATGAGCAGATCACTAATTCGGCCTGAAAGGTCTATGATCAAAAACATAAGGAATTGCCAGTGACCGTACATTTGAACCCACGTACATTTGAACCCATGTGTATATCCGCGGGTTGAGGTTATATGCGGGTGCTGAAACCCAAGGGTTAGGGTTAGTATGGGTTCAAATATCCATAAAACAAAAATTTTTCCATAGGTGCAATAGTATGCAAGTTCAATTGTCGTGGGTACAAATGTACGTGGGTTCAAATGCAATCGTCTGCTTTGAGAGGTCTGGTGATCAAGGACAGATATTTACAAATCATGACAGGGCTTGCCAAACCAGACTCAAACCAGACTCCGGCCGCCATTTTCGATATTGCGCGATCTCAGTAGTTTAGTACGTTTGGGATGTATTCCTCTTAAATTCATTTTTCAAAGCCAGAGTAAAAAAACAATGTTTTTTTTTAAATTCTAATTTTGCTTCAACCTCTGACAGACTTTGCTGTTTGTAACAGTCGAATAAAGAATATTGATTCAATATGCAAAAGTACCTAATGAATTATGATTGAAAGAGCCTTCAATCTGTATTTTTGTTCACTTTGCGGAACGTTTTCAACAATCAGTCATTTTCTGATGTTTTCAAGCTTGTTACAAACAAAACTAATGTGAACTATATTCAAACAAGTCAATTATCTCTCTCTCGTGGCGCATGTAAAATGGGGTTGGTGGTTTGTTCATGTCAGTGCGTTACATAAGTTTTTGAACGAGCGAAAACTTTCTTTATTAATTTGCAAACTCAAAGAAATCTTTGTTAGATCTAAAACGTTTCTAACAACCAATCATTTACGGATGCTTTTATGCTTGTTTCAAACAAAACTACTGTAAAACATATTCTAACAAGTCAATTCTTTCTCTCGAGACGCACGTAAAAGGGGGTTGGTGGTTTATTCATGTTTGTGCGTTACATAAATTTTTTGGAACGAGAGAAAACCTTTTTTCTATTTTGCTAACTCGGAGGAAACTCTTCTAGATCTATATATGGTCATCTTATTTACTAAAATAGCACAAAACGCAAAGCAAATAGTTGGCGGAAGCGCTTTTTTAACCCAAATTTCTTAGGGCTGCTTACGAGGCGCTGTAAGTCCGCCCTTTCGGATGTATTGAATTATTGAAATCCTCTGGTAGATGCACGTTATTGGGTACTCCAGAAGTATGTGAACCAAGATGGCGGACACCGGAACGTAGTGTGTGTACGAAGTTAGGGTTAGGGCATAATTTCAGATACAAATACTACGAGTGTCATTTGGCTAGTCCCCGAACTCAAAATATAACTAAAATAATGAAAATTGGATTAAAATTATGGCCTATCCCTAACCTGGTACACATACTACGTTCCGGTGTCCGGCATCTTAGTTCAAATACGTCGAGAGTTCCCGTTATTGTATACACAGTAGCAATTTTGTATGCAGAAAGTTTATTTAATTTTGTCTAAATGTGATATGGTCAGATAATAGCACATGTTCTTCTCCTCTTTTTTAGCAGGGAGTTTTAGGAAATACTCGTACTAAATTGTTTAGTTCACAAAAGCAATTGGAAATACGCATCTCTTCAATTGCCTGGTTTAGACGAGCAAATCGCAGAATGGGCCATCTGTTTCCCAGTAAGTTCTTGTTTTAGGCTTGAGATATTTTAATCTACTTCTAATATTTGTATTTTATAATGTACAAAAAAGCCATCATTCAACCACCATAGCCAAGAATGTATAAGAATACGCCATTAATATAAAAGAATTGAGCATTAAAAAACAAATCAAAATATTCATTCTGCTCTGGGTATACAGTAGTTACTGAAAATTACTCATTTTCAAATGCAAATACATACTAATATACCCCGATTCACGAAGATCGACGGTTTAAATTTTAAATATTCAAAGCCCAGTATCTCAAGTTATATAATATGGAAATATATGGATTTCTTCGCTGAATCCAACAGTAGTCATAAGTATTCTGATGTAAAACCTACTTCATTACATGATGAAAAATAAACAATTTTCACAGAGCAAATGGCGGAAGACCTCTACAGACACAAATATGATGAAGCTCAAGATAGAAAGAGAAAAAGCAAAGTTTTTCAGAATGGGAATGTCGCGAAGGAGTAGAAAAATTAATGAAACAAGAACCTCAAAACAAACACTTGCAAAAACTGAAGACCTGATTGCCCTTTCCAAAACTATTAAATTGGAGGACGAAATATTAGGAGTAAACATTGTAATTATTTTCTAAACATTGAAACTACTTGCAGGATTGTTAAATGTGCTCGACAAACCAAACTCCATAAGTCTGGAAGCCAATTTCAAAATTGCCTCCTGAGTAACTTTGTATATACGGTATACTTTATAGTCCAGTACCCACTGCGGTAATGAAATATTTTTTAAAGTCGAAAAATATACAATGTTTTCTCTAAAGTTGTGGACGTACCTAATTTCGTTTTATTTACCCGCAGACTGTTTATATTGATGTATAAACAGCCTGTTGAAACATGTTAAAATGTATTTTTATATGAAGTGCTCAACGTTTTTAACTTCCTGTTATTAACAAAGGTTTACTGCTTTCAAATCTAACATGTTTACACGCATATTTAAGAGGGGGGTTGGTGATGAATCTAAGGTTTAAATTTAAATCGGTAATGTTGCATCCGCATGTCAGATAAAAAAAAACGTTTTCTAAATGTTTTGTGGAATTTCATATGTTTTCACTTTAAAAATTAACTTTTGAGAAAAACACCAAAAGATTTCAAAATGACCAAACTATTTTTAAATGTTAGCGGGTACGCCTTAAGTCGGAATATTTTTTGCCCAAATTTGTTACCTCGCGGCTGCTTACGAGATGCTATTACACCTGTCCTCTCGAATATATAAAAAAATCTTCAAAATCTTCTTGTAGATGTACGTTTTTGTATGCACGATAGAAATCTGAAAGTTGATTTATGTCAAATTATTTTTAACGTGATCATCAAATATTAGCATTGTTGATGTTATCTTTTTTTCGCAGAGATTCTTAGGAAATAACTAAATTGTTTAGTTAACACCAGATTTTGAAGACACTCAGTTGTTCAATAAACTGGATTTAACCGAGTAATACTCATTATGGGATTTATATTTTCCAGTAAGTTTTTGTTTTAAGCTGGATTGTTTTATAATTCGAATATTTCAAGATGTAAAAAGTAGTCATCATTTAGCCACTATAATTACCAAAGAAAATGCAAGTAATATATCTGAATTAAGTAATAAAAATTGAATTCAAATATTTATTCATTTCTTGGTATCTAAAAGTTACTGACAATCACTCATTGTAAAATGAAAATCCGTACTAATATACTGTACCTCAATTCACAGAGAAATACCATTTATATTATCAAAACACAGTATCTTAAGTTATATGTTTTGAATGCATGTGCAATTTTTACTGAACATGACAGCAGGTATAATATTCTGATACACTACAAATTGTTCCAAATATCAAAAATACCATAAACGCTAATAAACACTTTTTGCAGAGGATATGGCCGAAGACCGCTACCGACACGAACGGGAAATGAGGAGATTTAAAAACGAATATGAAATAGCAGTATCAAAGCAAAAGAATGAGTTGTCGGAAGCACAAATTCGAGAAAGAATAGCAAGAGAGAAACAAGAAATGCAGTACCGACACGAGAAAGAAATGCTCGAAATGCAAACAAAAAGCATCATTAGAATTATTGACATTTGGTCAGTTTTTTTTTTATTACTTTTTGTAGTTGCTTCTAATCAAAAACAGCTTCTGAAGTATATGCCGAAAAAATAACAAACGCCTATATAAATATATCTATAAACAAACTCTAATAATATAACTCATTATAATGTTGTCTCATCGTCATAATATTTATTAGCGGTTGATTTTTTATAAATCTTACAAATGATTTCCAGTTATTAACAAAATTAGCAGCATGTTTTCGTTTTCATGTAATTCTCATGTGTAACCTTGTTTGGAGTGAAATCGTTTCAAATGTGGCACAAATATGGAAAATAGCTTTGGTTGATTTATTTAGAATATTTCGCCTTGGTATGTATTCTGCCATTAACTAATATAACACATTTTTATATCAGCCATCAAAAAGGACTGAATCCGTTTGAAAATACTGCAGGCACAATGGCCATGTGGTTGAATATCGGCGGCGGAAGAGCAATCGGCGGTAACTCATCGAAACATTTAGCTTTAGGATATAAGTAGCACAATATGCACCGTTCAAAAATATTGCTAAAGGTTTCAGCAGTGAATACTCTTTTACTCCGATGTTTTTGCTTGCTACTTTTCGAACAATTCTGAAACATTCATTCAGTAAAAAACGCTTTTTTTTCTCTAGCTAGTCGGCAATTTTGAGTATATATGAATAAATATAATCGAGTAAATCAAATCTACATTATTCTTGATATACATTCGAGCAAGGCCAAACACATACTATGTGACTTTGCGGGTTCCGAGCAGGTTGAGAGGTATGCATTTTGCTGTATAGAGAACTCTGGACTTAACATTCCTGAAAATGCTTTGCCGTAAAACAGAAATCAATCAGCATACTTGTAAGTCATTCGCAAATAGTGCAATTGAATTTCCTGCGTTCATTTTAGTTTCACAGTCGTGGGGGCTCGTTAAGTCATTTTATAAGTATTCTTATCTAGATTCCACACCGAGTGCTCGCAGTTCAGGCAATTGCGTGGTAATACGCTTGAACGTAGTTTCGATTCCTCGGCAGTTTTTTCGGTTCCTCAATTTGGATTTAGATACTGTAAACAAGTTTGAACTTGGGGTAGACGTCAAAATAGAGTATACATCACCGTAGTCAATATGGCATTTGAAAATTATTTGGGAATATTGGGGCTTTCTGTCTAAAAGTGAAACTCTCATGTTGTTTTTGTTTTCAACGAACGAAAGCTCGTCACGCTCGGGTTGAATGTCGAGTAGTTCAAAACAAAATGGCGAATGTCAAAGTATACAAAAAATTAGGTAGTCTTGATATGGTATTTAGACATATTGTGAAGTAAAATATTCGCCAATATATTTCAATAAAAAGTTACACAAATTTAAAATCAAAATTATATTTTTACTTATTTTCTCAAAGCAAGTTTTGTTCTTTTTAGATTAGGGCCTTGAATGTGTATTGTTCATTATTATCAATAAATATTCAGATTTTGATCTACTTTCTTAGTTTCACGCTTTGTTGTTTTGTTACTCAGTACGCAGACCATTTCGATTAGATTCAACCAATCGCTTTAAATGTAGACGTAAAAAGCACCGTTTTAAATTGATTGCAATTATTCCATTTAGTCCGTACAATTTTCGCAAGAGAGTGGCCAAATATCAAATCACTAAACTATTTCGATACTTGGGCGAAAATCCTTCAGAATCGTAAAGGTAAAAGTTATTTCCCATCTTCATAAATACCTGAGGCAACTTTATTGTTGTTTTGTGATGCTTTTTCACGTTGACGGTGATTGATAGGTAATTCTCTCAGAGTAACGATTAAAGAATTTGCACTGGAATTTTCAGCCCTAATGAACATACTTATATAAATGATATATTTGGTATATCCTATTATGTATAAAATATTTTATTCTCGTACACATGTACAATTAATGAATCAATATTCCAACTCGCCGTATTTACTATCTTCAATACCAACGACTATAGGTATATTTAATGTTAAGTTATTCGTAAGGAAACGGAAAAACATCATCATAAATCAAATTAATGTCAAACAAACTCAACACTCAGCCAAACGGTTAGTGGTTGAACTGAATTTCCCAGGCGTAGTTGAACATAATTTATCAGCCATTTTGTTCCCAAGGATAGCTATTTTGTCAACTACACCAATGGTTTTTCAACGTTTGAGTACCTTCCCCTCATTGCAGCCGCTATAAGTTATTACAAGAGGATACAAAAAAGTTGTTAAAATCTGAAAGAAGAGTCGATTATAAATTAATTGAACGAGCAGACATGCAAATATCAATTTTTTTTATTCCGACTGCAAACTGATCATTGCGTCCTGAATACATATTTACACAGAATTGCTTGTCATTTCAACGGATTTTGCGAACATTGTTTTGTACTTGGAGCGAGTATTTATTTTCACAATAGTTTGCAGATGATAACATAACGGATATACAAGTATGCGTATTTCTAGATTAATACAATCATATCTAAAACCGGATTGATATAGTGATATCTTTAGTCACGTTCGCTGTTTCCTGCAGAATTATATTTTTATTGTTGGCAATTGGTACATTTTATACCGAGTGACACAATAATATTTCAATTTTCAAATCCAGGTAATTCAATGAAATCTGATTATATAAAGAAGTTTGTACGTCTTTTGCAATATACAGATATCCAAATGCAACACCGTTAATAACATTTCACGTCGGGATTGTAGCACGATCCCTAATTGCTACATGCAGAAGTTTTCTTACCTAACATTTTTGGTATCTTACAAACTGAAATTCCAATTTTGTTACATGTCGTATCGTACCATTTGCCATTCGACACAGATAATTCGGTGCAAACCTCCTGCAAAATATAAGTAAAGCACTCGTGAATAGAGAACTGACTGTATGCAAGATACAATTAATATAAACTAATTCCAAATTAACAAACGAAAATTTTAATCCACTGCTCTACTTCAAAATTGGACTAATCTAAAACAAAAACTAATAAATCATAACGGATTAGACATATTTCTTACTTTAAACAGTTCACCACTTTTTGTAGGTTCTTTTTCCTGCCAGTTTAGATAAGACAGAGCTGAATTGTCTGTCCACGAGTAACTGTCATCATCCAGCGATCTGTACAATCCTATCCAACTAGTAAAAGAAAATAACAATATTGATGCGACTTCAATAAATTTGCAAATTTGTTCGGAGAAACCATAAAAAAGTTTGAATCACGAAATGATGTGTTTAATTGCAATTGTAAATAAAAGAACACTGTGATTACACCTTTAAATATACAAATTAGGAAAAAAATGATGAATCCACATACACATTGCGCCGAATGAATGAATATGATCTCGTGTTGGCTGACTGACGCATAATAAAATTGGATTCATCTTCCGAATGTATGCTCTGGATTAACCAATCATGCCAAGAATCACAAAGACTTTGGAAATGAATGCATAGAATGAATGATCTACTATTGAATTATAAATTTGCCTTGCTTATCGCCGGTGGTACTAAAATTTTGTTTGTGAAATTTTTCAGAGGAAAAAGGTGTAGTTAAAACTAGCAATTGCTAGATTTACCCACTAATGAATGAAATAACGCGATCGCACGCAATACAGAAGACGGAAATGAACTCAGACATAGTTGCAACGCACAATGTTGTTCATAACTTCTAATGGTATCGATGCATTATTTTCACCATTTGCATCCGGACATTACACACACGGTCATATGCACAGGCGAACATTTGAACTGGCAAGCATTTCCACCCACATATTCACATGGGCATATAGATTATACCCGCGGACATTCTTATCCAGCCATATGCACTCACGTAGGACTACATTTGCACACTTAGGCGTATGCATCCAAACATATTTGCACCCAGTGCATTTGTATCAATCGTCATATGCAACCCCGTACATTTGCACCCACAGTAATATAGAACTCAGTACATTTGATCTCACAGTCATATGCACGTGCGAAATTTGCCTTAAGTACAGAGGAACAGAGGTAACCCTAACCTGGTACGTATGCTACGAAAGTACCACCATTTGCACCCATAGTCACATATATTTCCTACCCCGTACATTTTCACTAAAAGTCAAGTCATATGCAGCCACAGTCACATGGGTCACTTAACATTGGCATCCTTGGACTTTTGCAACCCAGTATATTAGCACCAGCTGACATTTGTATCCGGATCATTTGCACTCACAATCATATACACCCCTATTCATTTGCACCCATAAATGAATGACTTTGACCTGTGCAAACGTTTGTGGATGCATTGTCCATGGATGCAATGTGTATGTGGGTGCAAACTTATGGGAAAGCAATCGTCAGTAGGTGTAAAATTATGCAGGTACAAAAGTGAATGTGTGCAATCTGTATGCACGTGCAAATGTCCTGGGTTCCGTTAAGTGGTGGAAATGTACATGGGTACAGAGATAACCTAAACGAGAGAATTGAGATTAAGCACTTCTGCACCACATTGCAATGTGACTATATCATCTGTTCAATTGATGTTAATGTAGAATTTTAATTAGCACGTTCGTTGGCTTTTGTATGAATGACTTATTATTATACATAATCTTTCGGAACAATAAAGTGACAAAGTTCTCATTTTGCTACACAAACAGACGGGGTTTTATTAGTTATTGTGTGGCCACATTTGTGCTGCTTTTATTTGTAGCCAAGGTTAATCTACTTTTGAGGAACCGATACTTCGAATCATAAATCAGATTTGATGTTAACTTGTTCAAGTGCAAAGTTTCTTCTTTGACAAATGAGGCGAAGTTTGGCACGCACTTATAGACCTTTTTCTATCGGTATTTCTCTCGTTTAAAAATTAGATTTCTTAGACTTGTGCTTTGCTTGTTTCTTTTATTTGTACTGAGAGCTTTTGTTGCAATACAGGGTTAATTTAAAGCAAGTACAGTACAATGACGTAGACAAGAATTTCTGATTGCCAAGTTAGACTGTAACAGCTGGAGTTTTTCAATGGGTTTCAAGAGGGTTTTAAAAAGGCTTCAACCAAACTAAAATTGCTATGTATAATAAAGAATATGTTTTTTTACATTTCCAAAAAGGAGGCTCGGACCATGTGTGCTGACCCACTGATTACCACAGCATTAAAGATTTTAGAACAAAGGTATTTTTTGGTCGAATAAGAAGCACACCACCTTAAATGTCTATGATCAAATACATTTAGAATTGTACCATCGGCAGCTTTTGGGAGCCCCAGTGATAGGGACATATGTTTAGAAAGCACTCCACAGCTTTCCAAACCAGACTCAATAAATCCCGTACCATACCATATTTAACCCAGAAAATTCTTTCTCTCGTGGCTCACATAGGGCTTGGTGGTTTATTCATGATGTTTGCAACGCTCTGCGTAAAGGCTTATTCTATCATTATTTCTCTCTTTCAAATTAGCAATGAGCAATTCTGTTGCAATATATTTCCAGAAATAGTCTTGAAGGTCTAAAAAACGTTTCAACCTACAAAAAATTGGTATGTAAGATAGGGAATATTTTTTATATTTTAAAAAGGGTGGGTCCGACGCTTAACCCGCCCTTTTTTCTACGCCCCCAGTACAGTATACCTGCCGAAAGCCCGTTAAACCGTGTCATTGAAAATATGTTTAGCAAAGTCATATAGCCTATACTTGGTATTAGTTAAAGCT